ATCAGACCATCAACCGCATTAGTCAAATAACACATCACAGGCACCTCAGGAGGGTGGAATCATACACGTGCATTTGGGACGTCACTTAGAAAACATGGGAAAACATTCAAAAATTATCATCACCTGAATCTCTAGCTAGTCACAATATTTTGGTATATGTCCTGTCCACATGTTTTTTAGCAGTGATATATTTATATGTGTTTAAACAGGCTCAATTTCATGTTTCCTTTTATAATGGAAGGAAAGGTTATTTTCAAATGATAGTTTTAACTTATATGAAAAATACCAAGGGAGCTTCATTTTGAATACTAGTGTTGATTTTCATTTAAGGCTGGAGGAAACGTGTTTGGTTTGGCTTGGTTTTTCTATGCAAATGCAGAGGAAATTTAACATGGTACAAATGTACGGGGTCAAATCTGCCACTTTTAGACAATAGAAAAATAAATCATTAGAATTTTAATTTTTAAAATTAACGATCTGTATTGTTTAAATTTTATTACGAACCAGCATTACTTTTAGAATAAAAATACAAAACAACTAGAACTAAATATTTTCTTGACTTAAAAATCTATTTATATATTATGTTTTTATTCAGAATACACATTTTAAAAACAATGAGAAGATGATTTAACAGGGAAACTATCAGAAGGTCTTTTGTTCTTTTGCCCACACAGAAATTGAACTCTTACCTTTTCCAAGGTGTTATATTTTGCAACTTCAAATTCTTGAGGAAAATGAGGAATTTCAACATTCTCTGTACAAACCCTAAAATTTATATAATTAAAGTTTTAACATAAAAGTGCATTTTTAGACCAATTAGAACTTTCATAAAGTTTTCCCCACAGGTCTCATAATTCCTTGCAAAATATACAAAGTCTTTGCTTAATACCACCCATTAGGTACTTTATCAACACAATGAGCCTCTGGCTCCTCCTGAATATGACCCCCCCCCCCCGAGCTCTGATCCCAGGCCCTGGGACTACTGTCTGCATGGAAAGAGGAGCCCCATGGGGCAGGTGCCCAAGATGTGAAGCACTGGGTCAGCAGGTAGGAGGAAGGGCCACCCATAGATAGTCTGTCTTCTTGCCGAACTCCAGTCTCCAGACACGATGTAGCTGTAGACAAGGCACCATCACTGGCTAGAACACAGCCCACTCTTTTAAAGCAATGGGCCAGGCTCCTCATCATTCACAGTTTATGTCTCCGTTTATCCTTCTCTTTTCGTACTACGATTAATGAATACAGTACATCCAAAAGGGGTGGCTAATTGACAACTGCTATTTGGGGTTTAAGAAACAACATAGGCCTTTGGTCTTACATGCCCCCTTTGAGGACACTTGTTGCTATTTCCAGTTTTGAAAACAGCCGGTATGAGTGATTTTCTACTCAAGGCTAGTCAGTAGGTAACCTCCGAAATCTTATCTCCAGTGATTTTTTTCTGTTGAAAATCCACCTAATCTAACAATTATATCTAATCTCCCATAATGTTGAGGAGCTAAAAATATTGCACTATAATTGAAGTAAAAGGTCTTCAGGAATGAAAATTTTCATAAAGCCTTAGGTGAGCAAAACAAATTTAAGCCCTTTTTGAAAACGGCCCATTGACCAACTATTTTACTACTATTTGCACACCCCGAAGGGTTGTAACAATCAGAAATGGATTACTCAGTGCACTCCACGGTGGTTTCCTTCTCTGAGGGACTGTGCAGGCCTGGAACATCTGCTTCCACTTCTAGAAGTAAAACAAAGGAAACACTTGTTTACGGATCAAACATTTACTATAGTGAATAAATAACTATTGGCGTTGCTATGATTCTTTTTTTTTAAACTTTTACTTTTTTATTAATCATTTTATTGGGGGGCTCTTACAAATCTTATGACAATCCATCCTTCAATTGTATTAAGCACACTTGTACATATGTTGCCATCAACATTTCCAAAACATTTTCTTTCTACTTGAGCCCTTGGTATCAGCTCCTCTTTTTCTCTCACCCCCCACCCTCGTGGATCCTTGATCAATGATATATTATTGTTATTTCGTGTCTTACACTGTCCGTTGTCTCCCTTCACCCGCATTTCTGTTATTCACCCCCCTTGGTGGTGGGGGACTATATATCCAGCCTTGTGATGGGTTCCCCCTTCCCAATCCCCCCACCCTCAAGATATCGGGGCTCCCACTACTGTTCCTGAGGGGTTTATCTGTCCTGAATTCCATGTGTCGAGAGCGCTTATCTGTACCAATGTGTGTACTCCGGTCTAGCGGGATTTTGAAGGTAGAAGTGGGTCACGGAAGTGGGGGGAGGAAGCATTCAGTAACTAGAGGAATGGTATGTGCTATACTGCACCCCGGTTGAATTGTCCCTGCCTTGCAACACTACTGTGTGTGGAGGGGGGAGGGAACAGGGTAATGGACTATATTTACTCTGATTTCTCCCTTCCTTCCTTCCTGTGCGTCCTTAAATGAACGGCATTGCTATTTTTATTGTTGGGTGCCCATGGACTCACAGCCACCCCATGGGGCAGAGTAGAACTACTCCACAGGGTGGGTTTCTTGGCTGCCGTCTTAGGGAAGCAAGTTGCCAGTTCTTTCCCCCAGGGCGGCATCGAGCGGGTCCTAACCACCAGCCTTTCCGTTAGCAGGCCAGTGCCTTAACAGTTGTGCCACCAGGCTCCTTAAGCTCACTCTAGTTATTGGTCATCCAAAGGCCATGTCGGTGAGAGGAGGAAGGCACAGAGGATGGAGAGAGAGCATGCTGTAGCTCTACCTTAATAGGTAACTAAGGGAAATTCTAACGCAAACGATCTTTAAAATCCATTGATCGACATAACAGTTGCGCGCGGCATCTTTCTTTTATAAAGATGACGGTGAGCATGTTACAGGTGTTTCTTATATACTGCAGGCTCAGGATGAGGTTCTTTCAAACTGGGGACTGAACCCACGCCCAGGGATCACCTTTCAGTTCAAGAGGACGCAGGCCTATAAAGTGAACGGAATCCATGGTGAGGAAGACACCCCTCAGAACAACCAGCTATAGGACAGCAAAAACACAGCATCTACTGAGGACCCAAGTACTGTAGGCAGGAAAGGACCGGAAAGGACGAATGAAATCAGGGAGCCCAAGGAGGGGACGAGAAAGATGCTATTCCCCTGCGAGGCTGGCAGCGACCGTCACAAAACGAAATGTGTACGAATTACGTGATGGCAAACTAACTTGCTCTGTAAACTTTGACCCACACCACCACTTAAATAATAAACAGAAGGCCTCAGAAGAGGGACACCTGCGAGTGTCATGGGAATGCCTAAGCTTGTGGCTGGGCCTCGGGAAGACAGACAGTCGTGCCCCGTCACTTGGGAACTCTGAGCAAGAAGGGCTGGTTAGGCAACTGGTGTCAGAACGGAAGCGGAACAGAAAGGGCCAGAAAAGGACGGATCCTCCCAGTTTGATGCGAGAAGTGAGGCTTGACTTGTCCACAGTCGAACAGGAATAGGAAACAAGTACTTACCAGAACTGCTTTCCTTGGGATCAGGCGGTATTGTGATATCCAGGGACTTATTAGGATCGTAATTCTTTACATCCAAGAGTCTCCTTTCTTTAAGACACTCCCCTACAAAGTCTGGGCTTACAACATGGATATGTTTCTCATGGAAAAATTCCAGCTGATACTGACTCAGAACGTCAGCATTGTCTAGGATTACGTGTGTGCACTGCAAATGAAAGAGGCCATCCATTATGCACAAATACATTTTAATAAATCCCTTCTGGCTGTCGTATTCACGCTTACAGAAACAGTCTGGCTTGAAGTGAATTTGGGAAATTTTTTCTAAGATTGCCGAAACTTTTAAAAACAATACGGTATCTAATTACAAATTTTTAAAAAATCATGTTTGAAAAGAAGACCAAAACTCAACTCAATCCCACTATGCCACCAGGGCCCCCTCACCTGTTGTTAAAGAGGATCCGAAACACTCACTGCCATCGAGGCCATTTGGACTCGTCGAGAGCCCGCAGGGCAGAGGAGAACCACCCAGGTGGGCTCCCCAGACTGTACATCTCTGTGAGCGTAGAAAGCCTCATCTTTCTCCCAAGGAGCGACAGGTCATTTCAGGTTGCTGGCCTTGTCATGAGCAGCCCGATGCGTCACCTATGATGCCATCAGGCTCCTTTAAGGAGTTTGGATGGACTCTTGCTGATGAGCCAAGCCTCTGCAGGCCATAACTTTTGTGAAATTGTTCAAATATTTTCTTAGGAGTGGAATGAGATGTTCAAAGGGCATTCATTTCTTGTTTACTTTAATCTGTTCATCTGTCATTTCGTGAATGCACTGTTGAGTAATTATAGCATGCCCTTCGCCGAGTGTCTCAAATGTTAAGAGTTACGGTCTGTTAACTTCTCACCACTGTTCCTAGGTCCTCTCCAAGGCGCCTGCTGTAACCTTTCCCCAAGTGTCCTTCTAGAGAAATTCCACACACACAGGTAATGCTTTTAACCACAATGGCGGCAGGCTAGGCGTACTTTTCTGTTCTTGCTTTTCTACTGAACAGCTTA